GAAACTATGGAGCAACACCCAATTCGCATACGAAAATCGCCTGGCGAAGCCGAGCGAACCGAAGCCGGGCGAACCGACCCACCGTCACTGGAGAAACTATGGGGCAACACCCAGTTCGCATACGGAAGGGGATTGCCGGGCAAAGCCGGGCGAACCGAAGCCGGGCGAACCGATTCACCGTCACTGGAGAAACTGTGGGGCAATACCCAATTCGCATACCGAAGGGGATTGCCGGTGAGGCTGGCAAAGCCGGCTGCCGAACCGATGCGCTGCGGAAACGACCACTGTCACTGGCGAGAAACTATGGGGCAACACCCAGTTCGCATACGGAAGGGGATTGCCGGGCAAAGCCGGGCGAACCGAAGCCGGGCGAACCGATTCACCGTCACTGGAGAAACTGTGGGGCAATACCCAATTCGCATACGAAGGGGATTGCCGGGCAAAGCCGGATTGCGAACGAGCCGGGCGAACCGACCCACCGTCACTGGAGAAACTATGGGGCAACACCCAGTTCACATACGGAAGGGGATTGCCGGGCAAAGCCGGGCGAACCGAAGCCGGGCGAACCGAATCACCGTCACTGGAGAAACTATGAGGGAAAACCCAGTTCGCATACGGAAGGGGATTGCCGGGCAAAGCCGGGCGAACCGAAGCCGGGCGAACCGATCACCGTCACTGGAGAAACTGTGGGGCAATACCAATTCGCATACCGAAGGGGATTGCCGGGCAAAGCTGGGCGAACCGAAGCCGGGCGAACGGACTGACCGTCTCTAGAAAAACTATATCGCAACACTCAATTCGCATAAGAAAATCGCCAGGCGAAGCCGAGCGAAACGAAGCCGGGCGAACCGACCCACCGTCACTGGAACTATGGGGCAACACCCAGTTCGCATACGGAAGGGGATTGCCGGGCAAAGCCGGGCGAACCGAAGCCGGGCGAACCGAATCACCGTCAATGGAGAAACTATGGGGCAACACCCAATTCGCATACGAAATCGCCACGCGAAGCCGGGCGAACCGAAGCTGGGCGAGCCGACCCACCGTCACTGGAGAAACTATGGGGCAACACCCAGTTCGCATACGGAAGGGGATTGCCGGGCAAAGCCGGGCGAACCGAAGCCGGGCGAACCGATCCGCCGTCACTGGAGAAACTATGGGCGGCCAACACCAGTTGTCGCATAGGAAGGGGATTGCCGGGCAAAGCCGCGCGCGAACCGAATCGGGCTCATCGCGAATCCCGTCAATGGAGAACTATGGGCAACACCCAATTCGCATGTACGAAATCGCCACGCGAATAGCCGGCGGGGGGGCCGGGGCGCGCGCCGCCGGGCGGGGGGCGGGGGGCCGGCGGCGGGGGGCCGCGCGGGGCGCGGGGCCGGACGAACCGAAGCCGGGCGAACCGACCCACCGTCACTGGAGAAACTATGGGGCAATACCCAATTCGCATACCGAAGGGGATTGCCGGGCAAAGCTGGTTTGCACCGAAGCCGCCTCCTATCAGCGAACGGACTGACCGTCTCTAGAAAAACTATATCGCAACACTCAATTCGCATAAGAAAATCGCCAGGCGAAGCCGAGCGAAACGAAGCCGGGCGAACCGACCCACCGTCACTGGAGAAACTATGGAGCAACACCCAATTCGCATACGAAAATCGCCTGGCGAAGCCGAGCGAACCGAAGCCGGGCGAACCGACCCACCGTCACTGGAGAAACTATGGGGCAACACCCAGTTCACATACGGAAGGGATGCCGGGCAAAGCGGGCGAACCGAAGCGGGCGAACCGACATCAAGCCGTCACTGCGGAACACTATGGGCCAACAGCCAAGTCGGCATACGGAAGGGGATTGCCGGGCAAAGCCGGGCGAACCGACCCACCGTCACTGGAGAAACTATGGAGCAACACCCAATTCGCATACGAAAATCGCCTGGCGAAGCCGAGCGAACCGAAGCCGGGCGAACCGACCCACCGTCACTGGAGAAACTATGGGGCAACACCCAGTTCCACATACGGAAGGGGATTGCCGGGCAAAGCCGGGCGAACCGAAGCCGGGCGAACCGATTCACCGTCACTGGAGAAACTGTGGGGCAATACCCAATTCGCATACCGAAGGGGATTGCCGGGCAAAGCCGGGCGAACCGAAGCCGGGCGAACCGACCCACCGTCACTGGAGAAACTATGGCAACACCCCACCACATACGGAAAGGGGATGATGCCGGGCAAAGCCGGTCGAGCGAACCGAAGCCGGGCGAACCGATCCACCGTCACTGGAGAAACTATGGGGCAACACCCAGTTCGCATACGGAAGGGGATTGCCGGGCAAAGCCGGGCGAACCGAAGCCGGGCGAACCGAATCACCGTCAATGGAGAAACTATGGGGCAACACCCAATTCGCATACGAAATCGCCACGCGAAGCCGGGCGAACCGAAGCTGGGCGAGCCGACCCACCGTCACTGGAGAAACTATGGGGCAACACCCAGTTCGCATACGGAAGGGGATTGCCGGGCAAAGCTGGCGACCGTAAGCCGGCCGGGCGAACGGACTGACCGTCTCTAGAAAAACTATATCGCAACACTCAATTCGCATAAGAAAATCGCCAGGCGAAGCCGAGCGAAACGAAGCCGGGCGAACCGACCCACCGTCACTGGAGAACTATGGAGCAACACCCAATTCGCATACGGAAGGGGATTGCCGGGCAAAGCCGGGCGAACCGACCCACCGTCACTGGAGAAACTATGGAGCAACACCCAATTCGCATACGAAAATCGCCTGGCGAAGCCGAGCGAACCGAAGCCGGGCGAACCGACCCACCGTCACTGGAGAAACTATGGGGCAACACCCAGTTCGCATACGGAAGGGGATTGCCGGGCAAAGCCGGGCGAACCGAAGCCGGGCGAACCGATTCACCGTCACTGGAGAAACTGTGGGGCAATACCCAATTCGCATACCGAAGGGGATTGCCGGGCAAAAGCCGAGCGAAGCCGGAGCGAACCGACCCACCGTCACTGGAGAAACTATGGGGCAACACCCAGTTCGCATACGGAAGGGGATTGCCGGGCAAAGCCGGGCGAACCGAAGCCGGGCGAACCGATTCACCGTCACTGGAGAAACTGTGGGGCAATACCCAATTCGCATACGGAAGGGGATTGCCGGGCAAAGCCGGGCGAACCGAAGCCGGGCGAACCGAATCACCGTCACTGGAGAAACTATGAGGGAAAACCCAGTTCGCATACGGAAGGGGATTGCCGGGCAAAGCCGGGCGAACCGACCCACCGTCACTGGAGAAACTATGGGGCAACACCCAGTCCACATACGGAAGGGGATTGCCGGGCAAAGCCGGGCGAACCGAAGCCGGGCGAACCGACCCACCGTCACTGGAGAAACTATGGGGCAACACCCAGTTCGCATACGGAAGGGGATTGCCGGGCAAAGCCGGGCGAACCGAAGCCGGGCGAACCGAATCACCGTCAATGGAGAACTAATGCAACACCCAATTCGCATACGAAATCGCCACGCGAAGCCGGGCGAACCGAAGCCGGGCGAGCCGACCCACCGTCACTGGAGAAACTATGGGGCAACACCCAATTCGCATACCGAAGGGGATTGCCGGGCAAAGCTGGGCGAACCGAAGCCGGGCGAACGGACTGACCGTCTCTAGAAAAACTATATCGCAACACTCAATTCGCATAAGAAAATCGCCAGGCGAAGCCGAGCGAAACGAAGCCGGGCGAACCGACCCACCGTCACTGGAGAAACTATGGAGCAACACCCAATTCGCATACGAAAATCGCCTGGCGAAGCCGAGCGAACCGAAGCCGGGCGAACCGACCCACCGTCACTGCGAAGAAAACTGATGGGGGCCAACACCCAGTTCACATACGGAAGGGGATTGCCGGGCAAAGCCGGGCGAACCGAAGCCGGGCGAACCGAATCACCGTCACTGGAGAAACTATGGAGCAACACCCAATTCGCATACGGAAGGGGATTGCCGGGCAAAGCCGGGCGAACCGACCCACCGTCACTGGAGAAACTATGGAGCAACACCCAATTCGCATACGAAAATCGCCTGGCGAAGCCGAGCGAACCGAAGCCGGGCGAACCGACCCACCGTCACTGGAGAAACTATGGGGCAACACCCAGTCCACATACGGAAGGGGATTGCCGGGCAAAGCCGGGCGAACCGAAGCCGGGCGAACCGATTCACCGTCACTGGAGAAACTGTGGGGCAATACCCAATTCGCATACCGAAGGGGATTGCCGGGCAAAGCCGGGCGAACCGAAGCCGGGCGAACCGACCCACCGTCACTGGAGAAACTATGGGGCAACACCCAGTTCACATACGGAAGGGGATTGCCGGGCAAAGCCGGGCGAACCGAAGCCGGGCGAACCGAATCACCGTCACTGGAGAAACTATGAGGGAAAACCCAGTTCGCATACGGAAGGGGATTGCCGGGCAAAGCCGGGCGAACCGAAGCCGGGCGAACCGATTCACCGTCACTGGAGAAACTGTGGGGCAATACCCAATTCGCATACCGAAGGGGATTGCCGGGCAAAGCTGGGCGAACCGAAGCCGGGCGAACGGACTGACCGTCTCTAGAAAAACTATATCGCAACACTCAATTCGCATAAGAAAATCGCCAGGCGAAGCCGAGCGAAACGAAGCCGGGCGAACCGACCCACCGTCACTGGAGAAACTATGGGGCAACACCCAGTTCGCATACGGAAGGGGATTGCCGGGCAAAGCCGGGCGAACCGAAGCCGGGCGAACCGAATCACCGTCAATGGAGAAACTATGGGGCAACACCCAATTCGCATACGAAATCGCCACGCGAAGCCGGGCGAACCGAAGCTGGGCGAGCCGACCCACCGTCACTGGTCGGAGAAACAAAAATATTGGGGGCCACAACGCCAGTTCAGCATCGGAAAGGCTGGATGCCGGGCCAAAGCAAGTGGAGCGAACCGAAGCCGGGCGAACCGATCCACCGTCACTGGAGAAACTATGGGGCAACACCCAGTTCGCATACGGAAGGGGATTGCCGGGCAAAGCCGGAGCGAACCGAAGCCGGGCGAACCGAATCACCGTCAATGGAGAAACTATGGGGCAACACCCAATTCGCATACGAAATCGCCACGCGAAGCCGGGCGAACCGAAGCCGGGCGAGCCGACCCACCGTCACTGGAGAAACTATGGGGCAACACCCAGTTCGCATACGGAAGGGGATTGCCGGGCAAAGCCGGGCGAACCGAAGCCGGGCGAACCGAATCACCGTCACTGGAGAAACTATGGGGCAACACCCAGTTCGCATACGGAAGGGGATTGCCGGGCAAAGCCGGGCGAACCGAAGCCGGGCGAACCGCGTCACTGGAGAAACTATGGGGGAAAACAAAGTTCGCATACGGAAGGGGATTGCCGGGCAAAGCCGGGCGAACCGAAGCCGGGCGAACCGAATCACCGTCACTGGAGAAACTATGGGGCAACACCCAATTCGCATACGAAATCGCCACGCGAAGCCGGGCGAACCGAAGCTGGGCCGAGCCGACCCACGTACTGGAGAAACTATGGGGCAACACCCAGTTCGCATACGGAAGGGGATTGCCGGGCAAAGCCGGGCGAACCGAAGCCGGGCGAACCGACCCACCGTCACTGGAGAAACTATGGGGAAAACCAAAGTTCGCATACGGAAGGGGATTGCCGGGCAAAGCCGGGCGAACCGAAGCCGGGCGAACCGAATCACCGTCACTGGAGAAACTATGGGGCAACACCCAGTTTGCATACGGATTTGGGGATTGCCGGGCAAAGCCGGGCGAACCGAAGCCGGGCGAACCGATCCGCCGTCACTGGAGAAACTATGGGGAAAACCCAGTTCGCATACGGAAGGGGATTGCCGGGCAAAGCCGGGCGAACCGAAGCCGGGCGAACCGAATCACCGTCAATGGAGAAACTATGGGGCAACACCCAATTCGCATACGAAATCGCCACGCGAAGCCGGGCGAACCGAAGCCGGGCGAGCCGACCCACCGTCACTGGAGAAACTATGGGGCAATACCCAATTCGCATACGAAAATCGCCAGGCGAAGCCGAGCGAACCGAAGCCGGGCGAGCCGACCCACCGTCACTGGAGAAACTATGGGGCAACACCCAGTTCGCATACGGAAGGGGATTGCCGGGCAAAGCCGGGCGAACCGAAGCCGGGCGAACCGAATCACCGTCAATGGAGAAACTATGGGGCAACACCCAATTCGCATACGAAATCGCCACGCGAAGCCGGGCGAACCGAAGCCGGGCGAGCCGACCCACCGTCACTGGAGAAACTATGGGGCAACACCCAGTTCGCATACGGAAGGGGATTGCCGGGCAAAGCCGGGCGAACCGAAGCCGGGCGAACCGACCCACCGTCACTGGAGAAACTATGGGGCAATACCCAATTCGCATACGAAACCGAAAGGGGATTGCCGGGCAAAGCCGGGCGAACCGAAGCCGGGCGAACCGACCCACCGTCACTGGAGAAACTATGGGGCAATACCCAATTCGCATACCGAAGGGGATTGCCGGGCAAAGCCGGGCGAACCAAGCCGGGCGAACCGATTCACCGTCACTGCGCATTGAAACTACTGGGGCAACACCCAATTCGCATACGAAATCGCCACGCGAAGCCGGGCGAACCGAAGCTGGGCGAGCCGACCCACCGTCACTGGAGAAACTATGGGGCAACACCCAGTTCGCATACGGAAGGGGATTGCCGGGCAAAGCCGGGCGAACCGACCGAACCTTATCCGCGCGTCACTGGAGAAACATATGGGGAAAACATAAGCTTCGCATACGGAAGGGATTGCCGGGCAAAGCGGGCGACCTTAGCCGGCGACCGCATTCACCGTCACTGGAGAAAACTATTGGTGGCAACACCCCAATTCGCATTACGAAATCGCCACTCGCGAAGCCGGGTCGCTGAACCGGAAGCCTCGGGCGAGCCGACCCACGATCACTTGTGAGAAATATGGGCAACACCCAGTTCGCATACGGAAGGGGATTGCCGGGCAAAGCCGGGCGAACCGAAGCCGGGCGAACCGATCCACCGTCACTGGAGAAACTATGGGGAAAACAAAGTTCGCATACGGAAGGGGATTGCCGGGCAAAGCCGGGCGAACCGAAGCCGGGCGAACCGAATCACCGTCACTGGAGAAACTATGGGGCAACACCCAGTTCGCATACGGAAGGGGATTGCCGGAGGCAAAAGCCGGGCGAACCGAAGCCGGGCGAACCGATCCGCCGTCACTGGAGAAACTATGGGGAAAACAAAGTTCGCATACGGAAGGGGATTGCCGGGCAAAGCCGGGCGAACCGAAGCCGGGCGAACCGAATCACCGTCAATGGAGAAACTATGGGGCAACACCCAATTCGCATACGAAATCGCCACGCGAAGCCGGGCGAACCGAAGCCGGGCGAGCCGACCCACCGTCACTGGAGAAACTATGGGGCAACACCCAATTCGCATACGAAATCGCCACGCGAAGCCGGGCGAACCGAAGCCGGGCGAGCCGACCCACCGTCACTGGAGAAACTATGGGGCAACACCCAGTTCGCATACGGAAGGGGATTGCCGGGCAAAGCCGGGCGAACCGAAGCCGGGCGAACCGATTCACCGTCACTGGAGAAACTATGGGGCAACACCCAATTCGCATACGAAATCGCCACGCGAAGCCGGGCGAACCGAAGCCGGGCGAGCCGACCCACCGTCACTGGAGAAACTATGGGGCAACACCCAATTCGCATACGAAATCGCCACGCGAAGCCGGGCGAACCGAAGCCGGGCGAGCCGACCCACCGTCACTGGAGAAACTATGGGGCAACACCCAATTCGCATAAGAAATCGCCACGCGAAGCCGGGCGAACCGACACCCGGGCGAATTGATCCGACCCACCGTCACTGGAGAAACTATTTGGGGCAATACCCAATTCCATACGAAGGGGATTGCCGGGCAAAGCTGGGCGAACCGAAGCCGGGCGAACGGACTGACCGTCTCTAGAAAAACTATATCGCAACACTCAATTCGCATAAGAAAATCGCCAGGCGAAGCCGAGCGAAACGAAGCCGGGCGAACCGACCCACCGTCACTGGAGAAACTATGGGGCAACACCCAGTTCGCATACGAGGGCGATGCGCGGCAAAGCCGGGCGAACCGAAGCCGGGCGAACCGAATCACCGTCAATGGAGAAACTATGGGGCAACACCCAATTCGCATACGAAATCGCCACGCGAAGCCGGGCGAACCGAAGCCGGGCGAGCCGACCCACCGTCACTGGAGAAACTATGGGGCAACACCCAGTTCGCATACGGAAGGGGATTGCCGGGCAAAGCCGGGCGAACCGAAGCCGGGCGAACCGATTCACCGTCACTGGAGAAACTGTGGGGCAATACCCAATTCGCATACGAAATCGCCACGCGAAGCCGTCCTTTTCTCGCGACCGAAGCTGGGCGAGCCGACCCACCGTCACTGGAGAAACTATGGGGCAACACCCAGTTCGCATACGGAAGGGGATTGGCGGGCAAAGCCGGGCGAACCGAAGCCGGGCGAACCGACCCACCGTCAATGGAGAAACTATGGGGCAACACCCAATTCGCATAAGAAAATCGCCAGGCGAAGCCGAGCGAAAAGAAGCCGGGCGAACCGACCCACCGTCACTGGAGAAACTATGGGGCAACACCCAGTAGCGCATACGGAAGGGGATTGCCGGGCAAAGCCGGGCGAACCGAAGCCGGGCGAACCGAATCACCGTCACTGGAGAAACTATGGGGCAACACCCAGTTCGCATACGGAAGGGGATTGCCGGGCAAAGCCGGGCGAACCGAAGCCGGGCGAACCGACCCACCGTCACTGGAGAAACTATGGGGCAACACCCAGTTTCGCATACGGAAGGGGATTGCCGGGCAAAGCCTGGCGAACCGAAGCCGGGCGAACCGACCCACCGTCTCTGGAGAAACTATGGGGCAACACCCAGTTCGCATACGGAAGGGGATTGCCGGGCAAAGCCGGGCGAACCGAAGCCGGGCGAACCGAATCACCGTCACTGGAGAAACTATGGGGCAACACCCAGTTCGCATACGGAAGGGGATTGGCGGGCAAAGTGGGCGAACCGACTGACCGTCTCTAAAAAACTATGGAGCAACACCCAATTCGCATACGAAAATCGCCAGGCGAAGCCGAGCGAACCGAAGCCGGGCGAACCGAATCACCGTCACTGGAGAAACTATGGGGCAATACCCAATTCGCATACCGAAGGGGATTGCCGGGCAAAGCCGGGCGAACCGAAGCCGGGCGAACCGAATCACCGTCACTGGAGAAACTATGGGGCAACACCCAGTTCGCATACGGAAGGGGATTGCCGGGCAAAGCCGGGCGAACCGAAGCCGGGCGAACCGATCACCGTCACTGGAGAAACTATGGGGCAAAACCCAATTCGCATACGAAGGGGATCGCCGGGCGAAGCCGGGCGAACCGAAGCCGGGCGAACCGAATCACCGTCACTGGAGAAACTATGGGGCAACACCCAATTCGCATACGAAATCGCCACGCGAAGCCGGGCGAACCGAAGCCGGGCGAACCGAATCACCGTCACTGGAGAAACTATGGGGCAACACCCAATTCGCATACGGAAATCGCCACGCGAAGCCGGGCGAACCGAAGCCGGGCGAACCGAATCACCGTCACTGGAGAAACTATGGGGCAACACCCAATTCGCATACGAAATCGCCACGCGAAGCCGGGCGAACCGAAGCCGGGCGAACCGAATCACCGTCACTGGAGAAACTATGGGGCAACACCCAATTCGCATACGAAATCGCCACGCGAAGCCGGGCGAACCGAAGCCGGGCGAACCGACCCACCGTCACTGGAGAAACTATGGGGCAACGCCCAGTTCACATGCAGTGGGGGATTGAGTCATATTTGCGGGTTTATGACCCCGCGTGCTGCTGTTGAATAACATGAATATTAGTAGACTTTATTAGTACAGTGAAGGAGATCGCATTGGTTGTCGAGTATCAGATGTGAGCCGGACCTTGGAAGTGAGCTGGAACCATGAGGCGACGATCGTGGAGGAGATCTTCTGGGGCGAGGAGTCGAACGGACGAGCTGGACGGCGGCGAGATCTCGGTGCGGAGAAGAAGCCTCGATCGTCTGCGGCAGACCTTAAATACCATGCGTAAGATGACTCAGCAATACCGTATCCCTAGCACAAGCTCGCGCAGTAGAAGCGCTGATGAAAGAAATAGATAGGGCCGCTACTACTACTATATAGTTACTATGATCTACGGGACTTTACACCTCTTACACCTCCCCCCATTGCAAAAAAGTCCGTCCTCGGACTTGAGAACGGGGAAACTGAAGAAGAAAAGGAAATGAAAGAGGGTACTCACCGTAATGGACGTCAAGTGAGAAAAAACAACCGGCTATTCGAGCAGATCGGGCAGCGACGCGGTCGTCGTTACGGCGCCGGAATTCCGCGCCCAACGGAGTAGGATGTCCCAATACGACAAGCCGACTAAGGATTTCTCATGACCGAGCACGAATTGTCCGTGGCGACAACGGGACAGGGCTACGTTCAGTCGGTGGGGGTCGTTGAGGAATTCCCCACGCTCAGCGTCAAAGCCGGTACGTGTCGTCAGCAGGACTACGATATCCTTCTCACGCCCCTGAACGCTATCTACGGTGTGGATGTCAACTTGGGTACGCTTGGCGAAATGCTCTAGAAGGCGACTCTGCTCTTTGTAGAAGACAATGATGGCCAAAGAGGCAGGACGGACGTTCTTCCTGAGCAGCGCCAAGATGATCTGACGGCAAACCTCGGCTTCGGCTTCGTTTGAGTGTGAGCCGGAAAGAGACTTTGACGAAGAACCGGCGACGTCAACGAAAAGGAAGGGCATTTCCGGATTCGGACATCTCTCCGTAGAGAGGAAGAAGTTCGATGTACCATCATAAAGGTATAAAAGGTCCTGAAATGACCTTCAAAAAGGGACATTTCGTATAGAAAAAGACTTAGTGAGTGTCTATATTGGTGTGTTATAAGAACCATTGATTTTTTTTACTCAATATTTGGAAAAACAGATGATGAAGTCACCAGTGGCCGCCATAAAACTAGGACTGTCATTACCCGAGTGGAAGGGTATTCCCGTTAAAGAGTTATTGACAGAACGTGATCGCCTCGATTTGGTGGTTATGTTTTTTAATATAGACTTATTCAATTTGTATAGGATTTTACAGATGGGCTCCTGAAATGCGAAATGAAATGCTAAAAAATGCGAACAAGCGATTGCTTCTCCATCAAATATGACATGAAGTTTTACCTGAGCCCAATTGCAGGAGCATCTCTGGGAAAGTGACAAATTCCTTTCTGCTTTTATGTGATGTCTCAAAAATTGGGTGTTCTGCAATGCACCACGGTAAAGAAGGCAGCTCGAACAGCTTGGTGACTTATAAATGTTTCGCAAACTGGAATCCTCATAGCTATTTCTATGAAATTAACCAGGAAGCGTCAGAACTGATTGATGCTAAAGGGCTGACACGTCTCAGTCCTACAACGAGTGACATATAGTTGCCGTAAAAGTAAGAGATCTTGGAAAGCTCGTCTGTCCATTTTCCGGGCGGGGGGAGGGGTTTAGGCGACAGTTTGAAGGAAGGGTTGTGTAACGAAAACGCCACCTCTCATACAATATGGTAAACTTTATTCAAGTGTTCAAGTTCAATTGAGTTGTGTTGGTCCTCAGTTATGTTTGGCTTACTCATTCATTGCAGAATAATCGTCATTCAATTTTCCGCCAAGATATCGGTCGTGCTCGAAAGTGGAAGATCGTGCGGGAAAGAGCCCTATATGAGGGCGACTCTGAGCAGAGACCCTGTGCACTGTGCTCTATTCTCGTGGATCCTTACGCAACATCCTCTGCACATCAATATCAATATTCAGTGTACCGCAGTATGATGTTCACAAGGTATTCTAGCTGGTATTCCTATTTGGTATTCTAGTTATTCCACTGACTGGTGAAGTTGGATAATAAACTAATTACTCCTTTGTCTTCAGAGAGCAATATAACCAATATTCATCAATATCAAACAATATAAATAAATCAATATCCGCGTGGCTAGTTGGCACGTTGTACTTTAGGTGGCATTATTTTGATCTTTGATCTACCTGATATCGAGTCGATTTACTTAGGTAACGAGGACACACCAAGCAAAACACCAAACAAGAGAAAAATGGAGAATAAATTGGAAAAAAAATGCCAGAAATCAAGGTAAGGGTTAATTAGGCGTGTAAAACGGAAAAAAATCTATAAATAGAACAAAATGTAAAAACTCTATAGGAAAAGTGGTAAATGCACAGCTCACGTGCACACAGCCGCCCACCGAGGTCGCGAGGTCGAGGTTATCCGCGAAGATTTGACCGCGTCCGAGCCTTCTTGTTGCATAAATGAAGAGGTTACTCTGTGTACATGATAGGACTTGTTATCATTCAAGCTATCTGTGGTTTCTTATCTTCACTCATTTTGCCACGTACTTCCACAATGGACGGTAAGGTGAGTGTTTATCTTATCATTAATAACCTGTATCACCTGTGCTCCCGTTGATCATCGAGTTCCTCGAGCGGGCGCCAGTAACGTCTCCATTCGTCCCTGCAACGTGCAAGAGTTGCCCAATGAACTCTCTCAGCTCGAGGGACACGATGAACTTCATACCATTCGTTCAGAGCTTTCACGAAGAAGTCTGACCATCGCATAGGCGGTCGTCCAGGCGTTCGCTTGACATCCCGTGGAATCCAGTCGGTGATCGCTCTGGTCCAGCGGTCGTCCTCGAAACGCATGACGTGTCCGGCCCACCTCACACTGCAAAGGCGACCCAGGCCGAGCTGGAGAAGTACGGATGGCTGATGGTCGCCCACCCTCCCTACAGCCTGACCTCGCTCCTTCTGACTACTGGCTGTTCAGCCACCTGCAGCGCTATCTGGACGGAAAAAAGTTCGAAACAAAGGATCAGGTCAGAAAGGCGCTCGACGACTTCTTCAAGTCCCAGCCTCCGTCGTTCTGGAAGGATGGAATCGACAAGCTGCCTGAGCGCTGGCGTCGAGTAGTGAATGGTGATGGTGCATACCTCTAATCTCCAGGCTGGTTCGTTTTTGAGATATTTACAAAAAAGTCGTGTATAAGAACTTATGCGACAACCTAATATATTGTGTATATGTTAAGATCCTACTATATATAATCCGCTAAGTGTGTCTGTTGGTGTGTGTGTGTGAATGTTTGTCTGTATGTGTGTTTGACCGGAAATTCATAACTTCCTTCAAAACAGCGATAAAGCGCTCAAATTGATAAGTGATGTAGGGGGTGGGGCAGGAACATTATTGGTGGGTGGCAGGAAGTGATAACAGTTGATAAGATACCATGAGGGGCCTTAGAAAGGGAGGGGCATCAACTTCATAACGCGCGTTACAGCAACGATGGGACGTTGGTTCCAAGAAGTAAGATAGGAGGCAGGATGGGAACATTATTGGTGGGTGGCAGGAAGTGATAACAGCTGATAAGATACCACGAGGAGCCTTAGAAGGAGTGGATTACCTAATTCATAACACCGGCCAGAGCAACGACCGGACGTTGGATCCAAGCAGTAAGATAGGGGGCAGGATGGGAACATTATTGGTGGGTGGCAGGAAGTGATAACAGCTGATAAGATACCAGGAGCCTTAGAAGGAGTGGGTTACCTAATTCATAACACCGGCCAGAGCAACGACCGGACGTTGGATCCAAGCAATAAGATAGGGGGCAGGATGGGAACATTATTGGTGGGTGGCAGGCAGTGATAACAGCTGATAAGGGCTGATAAGAGGCGCTAAAGTGCAAAAGTCATCCAGTTGTTTGGTCGTTTCCAGTAAAACGTGGACATTAGTTCTAAAAAGGATACGGAAGAAGGGACAAGGAGAATTTCGATGGATAGTAGGTAAGGGTATGAATTTAGAGCTACTACGAGGGATTCAGAGAAAAAGGTCATAAAAGTTCTCAATACTAAATACTATATTCCTGTTAATAATGCAGTGCACAATTCTATGCATAATACATGGTCTGAAACCTGGATATGAATGGTAAAAACTGGAGAAAATAAGAAGTGAAAATGCTGATACGGAGCATCGGAATTCGTATCACCGGATTCTGCGCGCCTTCCAGTCAGTACGAATGCAGTTCTATATAGTGCAGAATGTTTTCTATATGCTATAGTGTTATGTGTGTAGTTCTATGTGTTGTGCGGAGTGGAGGGACTCTCAAACAGTGTGTGGCAGGAAGTAATCATTGAAGAGCCAGTAAGAAAATTAGAAGAAAAAATTTAGAAAATTAGATAATGTAGAAATGAGAATAGCTGTAAGCTCCACTACTCGAACAACCGCCAAAATTTCTTGGAACCTGTCGAGTGACTTATTTCCACCACGTATCAGACCTGCGGGATTCAAAATCAATAGGATATCCACAAATTGATGATATGGTTAGGAATGTTGATACGTTCATATGTTGATAATGTGCAACGGAGAGCCATATCAGTGATGATAAGATGTCGATGAGGGCATTAACACCGATTTTTTTGTAATAAAATCTCTTTGCACTGCTTTCTCAAGTCAGGCGCGCAGTACTGTGCGCCAGCCAAAGTTGGTGAGGATATAAAGCAGTCCTCGCTGATAAGCCTTCGTTACGGTCGCCATGCACTCAACCTCAATATGGGATCGCAGGGCCACTCAAATGCGATGTGTCCTACACAATAGCCTAAAAAGTTCGCTGTTGCATTGGGTTGGCCCATAAGTAATGGTGTTTTTTTTCACGCAAATTTTTATATAGAAAATGATAACATGATACACTGTTCGATTGCTAATTTCCTGCTCTATAAGATAGCATAATTGCCTTCTTACTACTTCTTGAATTGTGTCGATTTTTATTTCATTGAAAGGGAAATTCGGGTCGACGCAAAAGTGAGTTTTCGACAACTACTTTTTGCACTTTATCTCGGCTCTCAAACCACAGAAGAAGCTCAAAACTTGTGATATATATGACCAAGGAAATATGCTTCTTATGGCAGCCTGAAGTTGGTTCAAGCGATCATGAGATGGGTTTTCGGACCTTGTAAATGTGCAACGCTGGGGGCCCTCCTGGGGAGCGACGGCCTGCAGAACCTATCCACTAATTTTCGAACGTCTAACATCAACTGAGGGTGGTGGTTGATGATGATAAGGAAGCATTCCATGACCTCAAACGATTCCCCATCCCTGGTATGAATCTCCATGAATAAGGTTATCAGTAAGCTCTCAGTTGGACTCAATAGGGCATTAGGTCCGATGCTTCTCTGTGAGGTCTATATTGAAGTTTTCAAATCACTTGAACCGTCGTAATCATTCTTAAGAGACACAGCCTCTTAGCCATATGTTTAGCTTCTGGGTCTGTGCGGTTTAAGCTTTTTAATTAGAAGTAAAATGGGGAGGCTGTCAAAAATGCTCAATTTCGTCGACCTGACACTTCAGTTTGAGCACTTAAATATTAGTGGGAAGAAAAATCCAAGGAAACTAAAAAGACTGTCATGTAGGGCAAGGAATTCTCTACAAAGACAGGATGAAACGCTATGGCAAAAGTTTTCATCTTTAGCGCGATATTTCGAGTGAGAAAAAAACGCCATTACTTTTGGGCTGACCCAATAGTTGCTGAGAAAAAAAAACCATCAGCTTCTGCCTATTAATTTGATTTGTAGAAATTCAAAGGAACATAGTTCCCTTGCGCCGCGCAGCTAAATTCCATGGAAGGTACCGTTATGAGGGTCTATCAAGCTGCAGCATATTGGATGCTCACCGACCCATCCTGATGCTCGTATCGCTTTATTTGCATACGTGCAGCCATACCTAGTTAGCGGTTACTGGCCAGCGGGAACTCGTCCGAAATTGCTTCCTGAGTCACGAAGAACGAAGGCTTTTCTTTGCAGGTTATTGACGGTTTTAACGCCATTTACCCAACCAGTCGGATCGGCCGGCGAAGCCGGCCGATCCTCCTTCCGGGTGTGAAGTGGGTCCCGGTGAGAAGTTTTCCATGAGAGGGAGGGCCAGTCGGATCGGCTTCGCCGGGCGAATGGTCGAAAAAAATTGTTTTGAGAATTACAGCACTTTACCGTTTCACCGAATGGTCGAAAAAAATAGTTTTGAGAATTACAGCACTTTACCGTTTCACTTCTCGTATATACCCCCCTAGAAGGCAGTCATCAAAATTTTCTATGCTGCACACCGCTTAGGTTACCTTGCTTAGGCTCCCTGAAAATTGGCTAATCCTATCGTCGCAATCCCAGTTAGAATCCGTCCAGCAGAAGCAGTTTTCTGTAGTCTTCGGTTTTTGGGTGGTCAGACAGACGCACACACACAGACAACTTCTGGTTTATATATAAGAAGATAGGGAGCTACGCCGTGTCTCGTAAACAGTTACGAAAGTTCAGTCTAGGTGCAGGGGCAAAGTTCCATCTGTGCCTCAATGATAAATTGAAAATAATCATAATGCTCGGGAAGCCAGTCGATCGGCCGCTTCCGCCGCCGACCTCCTCTGGGATGTGAAAGTGGTCCCCTGTGAGAATCCATCGAGGGAGAGCCAGTCGGATCGGACTTTTTCCGGCCCGGGCCCGAATGTCGAAAAAAAAAATTGTTTGAAATTACACGCACATGCAACTTTACCGTTCAACCGAATGGTCCGAAAAAAAATAGTTTGAAAAGTAGCAGCACTTACCGTTCACTTCTCGTATACTACCTCCCGCCCCCCCCCCCCCTAGAAGGGCCAGTCATCAAAATTTTCTATGGGGCACACCGCTTAGGTTACCTTGCTTGGGCTCCCTGAAAATTGGCTAATCCAGTTAGAATCCGTCCAACAGAAGCAGTTTTATGTAGTCTTCGGGTTGGGTGTGCAGACAGACGCACACGAATTCACACAGACCAACCTTCTGTTATATAAAGAAATAGGACTACTACCCTCGTGTCTCGTTAAACAGTACCAAAGTTCAGTCTAGGTGCAGGCAAAAGTCATCTTCGGTGCTCAATGATAATTGAAGAATACTATGCGGAAGGCCAGTCCGACGGCCGGCCTTCGCCGCCGATCGCTCTTCTGGTGAAAGTGGGTCCCTGTAGAATTTCCATAGGGAGGTACATCCGGATACGAGCTTCGCCGGGCGAATGGTCGAAAAAAAATTGTTTTGAGAATTACAGCACTTTACCGTTTCACCGAATGGTCGAAAAAAATAGTTTTGAGAATTACAGCACTTTACCGTTCACTTAATCGTAATGGATTTACCCCCCTAGAAGGCAAGTCATGCTAAAATTGTTTCCTATGCTGGCAACACCTGCTTAGGTACTTTGCTTAGCTGCCCTGAAAAATGGTGCTAAATTCTAGTCGCAATCGCCAGTAAGAATCCTTCCAACAGAAGCAGTTTGTAATGTAGTCTGTGTGGTCGGTTGTTTGGTGGGGTTCAGATCAGACGTCACACACACACAGACAACTTCTGTTAATAATATAGAGGTAAGAATATCAGAGGGGGGGGTCAAAAGCCCGACTCGCACCGGATGCACCCATATCAAGCAAAGTTTCGCTGACAGTCGATAGCAGGAGGAAGCGGGTGGATACAGGTACATAGTGCGAAGATACCCAAGGGAAAATGTTCCTGCGATAGCAGCAGGAGCTGCGGCTCTTCGCCCATGCACCGGTTCATGGTTAATAAAATATGAAGCCATTTCCAATTGGAGGCCTTAAAGAAGGCCTTGGAATTCACCAAACATCTCCAAACAGCTGCGAAACTTCTAGTATGGAGTCACCCATGGATAGCTACCTGGAGACCAGTACTCTCGATCTGGATGACCTCCAACATCGAGCAGCTCCGACAACGTCGCCACGGTCTAGGACATCATCTTCACCACAGTCGCCAAGGCGCGGGTTGATGGTATGGACCGGACGTACCTGGAATGGAAAGACCAATATTTTCTTCGTGGACCCCGGACTGAAGGTGAGCGCTGGCGGTTACATTGGGCAACTCGTGAAGAATATCCTCCTCACATGTGGTCGCCCGTACCTTCTTGGAAACTTTGTACTGCTACAGCATTGAGTGCCACCACATGAAATCGAAGGGCGTTGGAGAAACACTCGCCTACTTGGAATGGAAGGGGGCTGAGTACCTAAAGAATGGAATATGGATATGGAATATCTGAGTAGGTCACCTGACCTGAATCCCCTCAATTACCCGGTTCGGGCGGAGTTCAATAGGGTGGTCTACGGTGGCGGAGAAATCGACTATCTCGCTGATCTCAGGCACCACATCGCGGTCGCGTGCCAGAATCTCTCGATTTCAAATACTATCATGACACTCCGCCACAGCTTTCTGGCGCTCGTCCAGAAAGCTGTGGCGGAGTGTCATGATAGTATTTGATATGCTCTTTAATATGGTGGTAAAAATGTCCGATCAGAATTTGATAAAGTGTAACTTATAGCGCCTCGAAAGTCAATGAAGAAAAGTGACTTTTTTTGCCCCCCCCCCCTGTATAGCATCGTGCTACCATTTCAGACAGACTACCAAATTATCGTGTGGTGCATCTTTAGAACAAGCTGCCCACTAAGGACATAATCAAATCCTATTCACGATAGAGTGTCGGCCGTGAGCCACACGAGCATTCATGTTCATTTTTTCATTTTTTCATCCTCTAACCTTACATAAATACATTAAGAACAACAAAGAATGCAATACATATCACTACAGGTAACAAACAGGAACAGGAGCACTACATTCTGTGGAATCCGCGGTAACGATGATAGCACCGACCACCTTATTGTGAAGGCTGTGCCTTCAAGACTATGTGCTCCACTCGTGCATTCAAGAGCATTGAAAAAAATTGCTCAGATGGAAATCTCAGATGGAACAAAGTGCAATGAACCATTTTGGAATCTGCAAATAAAAAAAACTATATAAAACAATTTACAAGCTTTTCACGAACTAAAGCTGCAGCTGCTGCTGCCTTCTGCAGACGCCTTGCAAAAACTATGCAGTTTTTTTAAAGAAGGCTGGCACTAATTTAGAGACCTCTTGGGAATGGAAGGCTTGGTCTCTTGAGCGAGAGCCGATCCAGCGTTCCCAGAACCCTGCGGTGTAACTTGTTCCGAAATTCAAAAATGGGGACATGGACTTGGAAGGTCAGTTATGGTGGATGAGGAGCAAATTTTGGATCCACTCCAAGAGGCTTCTTATCGCAGCACCCGTGTAAAGGAGACTTTTTACGTGGTCTAAACTCGAATTTGCTCTGAGCAAGTAATATCCTGGTAGGCCACAAATGTAGGCAGACTTTTAACGTCAGAAATTATGAATTAGAGTATCTTCGCAAAGTCGTCCAGCCCCAAGTTCCCTGCACACCACATCAAAAGTTCCTTAGTTTTCGACTACGTTCGCTTTTTTGAGAATCTGTAGTGGGCCCAGGGGATAATGGGGATCAGTGATGGAGATAATGATGAAGGCTGCTGGATCATTGTTGCACTGCAATCTGGCAAGGTGAGAGAAATGGCCCTTTGATAACGGTTCCGATTTCGTCAATTGAATTTTTTTGCCTATGAAGTCGCAAACTCCATTTTTTCCAAGAATTTTTTATGAGTTTCTTAGGTCCCTAGAATTGCAGCAATAGAAGAACGATCACATTTGAAATCGACTCTACCTGTTCGTCTTGACTAGTTGACGATACCACTGGGAACGGAGAAATACTAGAACCATCACTGTTATGCATCGATCGTCGGAATTTCGCTCTTGCATTTTGGAACCATACCTGTGAAATATTGTGAGTGTTTCTCACATCTAACCCAAGTCAAATAATGTCCACATCGAGGGGGGAGGGTGGGCGCGTTCCGGTGACAACTGCGTACTCTCGTGCTGACTTCGCACTACTCTACTCTCTTACGTCTACGCCTCTCTCTCGTCTAGACCCTTACAGCCACCAATGCTCTCGCAACCACGCCCTTTGTTGTTCTCAGTATACGATCGACGCACGAATTTGATTGAAGAACATAGCCATGGTTAATCTCTCTCTTCTAAGAAATACAAGGGTACATTGTTGGTTAATTCTTTTTAGAAGTCTTAAGTCTAAAGTCTTCGCTGTCATTCGATCCCTTTGTGGAATGCAGCACGCATTATATTAGGTTGTCCGGAAAGTTCTCAGCGTTTTGGGTGTTTCACTTTAAACGATCGTAACTTTTTTAATACTCATCGGATTTAATCGAAATAGGCACCATTCGAATCAGCACACTTTTGCCAATGTGACAGCAGTCGAGAAATCCCATCAAAGTAAAAAACTGGGTGGTCGAAAATTCACGAAATCCACTAAGGCTTTTTTGCCTGGTCCTGATTGATGAAGTATTTTCCAGCAAGGGAGTTCTGAAAATGTTTGAAAAGGTGATAGTCGGTTGGCGAAAGGTCTGAAGAATATGGCGGTTGAGGTAGAACTTCAACCCCAATTCGTTCAATTTATGGATAGTGATTTGTGAAACGTGTGGGCGGGCGTTGTCATGCAAAGGAATCGGACCCTTTCTTTTGATAAGTGTTGGCTGCATCTGACAAAATTTTCGGTACAATTCGTCGATTTCTTCACAGTAGGGTTCTGCTGTGATGGTTTGGCCTGGTGATAAAAAGTTATAGTGGATCACACCAGCCACACCAAGCCGTGACCAGAATCTTTTTTTCGTGAGGGTTCGGCTTTGAAAATTACCTCGGTGGTTCGTCGAAATCCAACCACTGTCCGGAACGTCTCCTGTTATCATACATGACCCATTTTTCATCACAGGTGACAATTCGGCCCAAAAACAGGTCGTTTCTGCTGCGCAAAAGCAATGCAGAAGGAACCTCGAGACGTGCCGATTCCTGCCGGTCACTCCGATTGTGGGGCACCCAATTGTCGAGTTTTTTCACCTTCCCAATGCGTTCCAGACCATCTGCAACAGTGGATTTGCCAAGGCCTAGCTCTTCTGCTATCTCTCGAACTGTTTGGGATGGGTCAGCCTCCAAAATCCCCCTAAAATCCTCGTCAGATATTGCTTTAGGTCGACCGCTATGAGGTTCATCTTCAAGGCTGAAATCTCCAGAACGAAATTTGTTGAGCCATTGCCGCACAGTGCTTTCTCTAGCACTATTGGGCCCCCACACCTGGTTAATTTGTTGAGCTGTTTCGATTGCGGATTGCCCCAATTTATAGTCGAAGAAAAAAATCGTCCGAAGTGCTCTTTTCACATGCTTGAAAAAATCTTGAAAAAAGGGGGTTTATCAAGCAATGGTGAAACGGCATCAGATAGCGCAAGAAATTCTCTACAGGATGTGCTACTGAGAAGCAAGGCAGAATGAGTTTTTAATCAGCAGTGAATGTACAAAAATAGGTGCACAAAACGCTGAGAACTTTCCGGACAACCTAATACTTCCGTTCAGAATCGCAGTGGCTCACTGAATGCTGCACAGTGACTCTGCACTTCTGCCTATACAGTGACTTGTCGAGCCACATATAGGTCAATGTTCTTATCCTCTACCAATTTACCGTCCCCGGTGAGTAGAAGGCCTGGTCGGCCTGGGTGATAGTGGACACGGAGTTTGAACCCAGGACTTTCTTCTTAACTGTTATGAACTTTCCTCAGGATACAGCACTGGGATTAGGTATAAACTTTCCTCAGGATACAGCACTGGGATCAGGGAAGTGGCGTGTCATGCGATACCCTCCTCCTGATGGGTTTCTCTTAGCGAGCCTCCTACCCTGCTCCGAGTCCAGATTAATAAAGCTTGAATAGAAATGAATTCGCAGTGAACGTCCTCTTTTACTATATCGGGCATTAGATGACCGTATATTCATCTCAACTCTTCTTGTGAATCTCCGAGCAGTGTAGGCTACAACCCATTCCCGGAGATGTTTAAGGCGGTCCGAGAACTCCGATGTCAGTGAAGCTGGTCAGCTGCAGGAAGGAGCCGGCAGTGTGTGCGCAAAAAGCGACAGTGAACCATTCTCGGTGAAAGCTTTCTGCACTAACCGAGACCAACCATTGTTCACAGATACGCAGCTGATCTCGCTCTTAAAGGCAGTTGGCACGATGGTTTCCCACTCGGCCTAAAATGCTAGTAGGGCGCTATGTAGTGGGGAAATGGCGAAAGAACGGAGTGAAACGGTCATTGAAATTCGATTTCGGACGAGTTTCCCGTGAGCATCTTGCCAATCACCGCTACCGAAGATACGGCTGCATATGTGTACCCATATATGCATGCAGCATCACGGCCGCTTCATACCAATCCCTTTGCTTCATAATTTGCTCAGCAAATGAATGAATACGAGCGTCAGGAACGGTCGTCCGTTTGTGGGCGGGCGGGCGAGGAAGGCGACGGAATGTTGTTGCTCGATAGGGCGTTATAGGGGTACCCTCCTTGGAAAAGGCGCCACGGAGCGCCTGTCCGAGGTCACGGAATTCTGTTAAGCCAGTCGTACAAATCCTACAGCTGTGTAGCGATTTATCGTGCCTAACTCCCTTTAAGGGTGATCATGGACGAGCCCTCCCGAGACATGCGATATACTTTTCCAATGAGCGTACATACATATGACCGGGTTAGAATATAAAACTTGCCTGTAACAGTTTTTCCAAATACACTAATGTTCTATTATAACTCAACCAGCTTACCTGCAATACCCGCTTGGTGAGTCCGGTTTTTTGAGCCAGTTGCTTAAGATCCTTGGCATCCGGATTGTGATTCAAATTGAAATATTGTTTCATTGTGCGTAGTTGATGATGTTTGAATGACGTCCTCATCCTCTTCGAGCGACTGTGCGTTGGCTGCTGATCACCAGAGTAATCTGAAGATTTACTTGTCTTTTTGATATGACCATTCCGGCCACAGATTCGATCTTAGTCTTCTAGCCCCCTGACAACTAGAATCATTGTTTACTACGTCAGTGTTTGACAATGGAGTACTTTTCTAAAGTTTCTAGTAAAGCGTTTCAGTATTCCGAAGTAACGCTTCGACTGCCATTCTAGGAGCCTCAACGCGCTACTTGAACGTCGCAAATAGTGCAAGTTCTAGATTAATTTAATGAGCCCACCAGCGGCGTTACCACAACTGTGTCCTGACTGTTTTCTTCCTATGTCGATTCTAACCTGTTCGTTTGTGGAGCTATGGAAGGGGGGCTCACTCCGTTCCTCCCGGGAGGGGCGAAAAACTCACCGGCAGCGCGCACACGGCGCGTGCCGTGCGATGTCACTGCGACGGTGCAGCAGTGATCTGCACATTGATAGGCGCTTCCATCAGGATCCATGGATTTGCTCTTCAACAGCTCATGTTCGCCTTTCGTCGTTGGTGCCGGCCGGGGATGTTCTTGGGATATTCCTTGCAGCTGCCTTCCATTTTCTGGTGTTACCGATATGTAACCATTAGATACTTCCTGCCTTCCTCCTTGTCCTACGGTTCTTTACCATATATGGGCAAAATCCCAGAAAGTCATTTTCTCCTTTTCGGCACGTCATCGCTGCAGCGACAGTAACAGAGAGGGCGTACGCTCGTCGGTGGGTTTTTCCGCGGAGCAGCTCTTCCCGACCCCCCCCCCCGAAACTGGTTTCGGTGTTATCACGTGTGGGTATTCAGGAGGAGATGAGCACTACCACATCAAACGTCCAGTCCACTCTAGCAGTCCCGATGACGTGAGAACTCAACTCCAGCCCAACACAGAAGGGTCAAACTAAAAATACGGAAGTAATTCTCTATCATCTACGGACGGCGGTCGGTAGGGGATGGGATTCGCTTCATCATCTCCATAAATATGGAGGTGAAGAGACAAAAGCAACGCCGGGACGTTAAAAATCACAGGACGGTGTCCTCATCCTGGAAATGATGACTGATGGGGTTCTTTTCCCAGCTCGAACTTTCGCGTTAAAGACCGAATGTTTGATCATTGAGCTCTGGATTTTCTGATTGTTGCATTTAATTAATAAGCTAGAACCACAGAGGCTAAGGTGTAGGCTCCCAAAAAAAGCAAAAAAAGTGTTGAAACGGTTTAAACATTTCAACGTTGACCTCGTCGACAAATATCGCACAGCACTCCCTACTGAGTTGGGTTGGAAATTTAAATACTAAGATAATTAATCAATGTGTAATAACAATGTGAAACCTCCAAAAATTTATTCCAAAAAAATTCAAAAGACATCAAAGTCCCAAAAGTTTTTTAAAATATTTTATCTTGCGATAACGCACCGAAGTATCGCAAGATAAGATATTTTAAAAAACTTTTTGAGTTTTTTGGAATAAATTTTGGAGTTTCACATTGTTATTACACATTCAGATAAGTAATGAGACTCCGGGACAGCACCATACTCCTAAGATAATTAAATTAATGGATCAGACATTTTGATCATTCTTCTGATCTGAGAAGCAGACAACCCGCGAGCGCTAAACAGGAATGCACCGGAACGGACTAAGAATCTTGTGACAAGAGGGTTCCCTGATTCATTTGATTACATTTTGAGTCGCAAATGAGATGACAATCTGTCCTTCAAATTTACATTTTGTGATCAAAAGTGATGGATAGGGGTTTCATACACTAACGAGAAGATGTTTAGAACTGAACAGTAGAGAAAAAAATGAAAAACCTTCAGGGATGCGTTGGGCACCAATGTAACCCATTGTCAGACCAGACTTGTACATACAGAGAAGAAAGGGCGTGCTTGGACGAGTTCTCACTTACTTACAGGGTTCTAAACACTATCAGTTTCCTTTTCCTTATCCTCTCACTCTACCATTCGCAATGGGACGAGTTAAAGGCAAAGCCCGCGACCACAGATTGTGGGTAACGGAACCCACATAGGAACGAAAAAGGGCTAGGTATCTGATTAGCGGAGAAAAGCAGCAGAAAAACAGCCGAAAATGCCCTAAATAGGATTCCATATCGACCCAACTTGTACATGCATGCAATGAAGAAAACGCATGTTTGTACGAATTTCCACTCGTCGTTATCAGCTCTTTTATCGTATCACCTCACTCTCACCATTCGGAATGGAGAGAGATAGCATAGTGGCTACTAGCTAGTAGCTAGCAGCCGGTGGGGGTCGGCATGGGCCTAAGGGCGCCCATGGGCCTAATTGGTTAGCTTGAAGCGGAATTCTTGCCGATTTTCACTTTCTAAAGTAGCGCAGCCTCCGCAATCTCCTTCCGGATCGTCTGACACATTTGAAAGGTCATAGCCTTATTTTATCGCGGAAAGTGCCTTTAAGCGGAGCAGCCACAGCATTACTAGAAATGATGTGGGGTTGGATTGGGTAGTGGTCGGCAAGCGCTAGAATGAAAAACTTCTGTGCTTGGAGGCGCCGTCTACACAAAAAATGCGGCACGTGCTTTTGGATGCACAAGGCATGCGTTGGAGTCTAACTCGGGTTTTACCGTGCAAGCTATAGTAACCAAGTACAACGTTACCTTAGCGCCTGCTAAAGGCCCTTCATGACGGTTGACAAGAACTCCCTACAGACATAGGGCATCGAATGCGACGGCGGGTGTTTTCGGCACGCACCTGACCGCGAACATGAACGCTACCAAAAATTAACGATAGCAGTGCAGTTGAGCAGACGCAGCTCAGCTCTATCTAAGACAGCGTTCAGACTTGTCGCGCCTGAACGCGAGTTGACTGCGGCGCTTCAATTATCGACAAGCGCACTCCAATTGTACCAGACCCTCAGACTTGTACATACAGAGAAGAAAGGGCGTGCTTGGACGAGTTCTCACTTACTTACAGGGTTCCAAACACTATCAGTTCCTTTTACTTATCCTCTCACTCTACCATTTCGCAATGGGACGAGTTAAAGGCAAAGCCCGCGACCACAGATTGTGGGTAACGGAACCCACATAGGAACGAAAAAGGGCTAGGTATCTGATTAGCGGAGAAAAGCAGCAGAAAAACAGCCGAAAATGCCCTAAATAGGATTCCATATCGACCCAACTTGTACATGCATGCAATGAAGAAAACGCATGTTTGTACGAATTTCCACTCGTCGTTATCAGCTCTTTTATCGTATCACCTCACTCTCACCATTCGGAATGGAGAGAGATAGCATAGTGGCTACTAGCTAGTAGCTAGCAGCCGGTGGGGTCGGCATGGGCCTAAGGGGCGCCCATGGGCCTAATTGGTTAGCTTAAAGCGGAATTCTTGCCGATTTTCACTTTCTAAAGGTAGCGCAGCCTCCGCAATCTCCTTCCGGATCGTCTGACACATTTGAAAGGTCATAGCCTTATTTTATCGCGGAAAGTGCCTTTAAGCGGAGCAGCCACAGCATTACTAGAAATGATGTGGGGTTGGATTGGGTAGTGGTCGGCAAGCGCTAGAATGAAAAACTTCTGTGCTTGGAGGCGCCGTCTACACAAAAAATGCGGCACGTGCTTTTGGATGCACAAGGCATGCGTTGGAGTCTAACTCGGGTTTTACCGTGCAAGCTATAGTAACCAAGTACAACGTTACCTTAGCGCCTGCTAAAGGCCCTTCATGACGGTTGACAAGAACTCCCTACAGACATAGGGCATCGAATGCGACGGCGGGTGTTTTCGGCACGCACCTGACCGCGAACATGAACGCTACCAAAAATTAACGATAGCAGTGCAGTTGAGCAGACGCAGCTCAGCTCTATCTAAGACAGCGTTCAGACTTGTCGCGCCTGAACGCGAGTTGACTGCGGCGCTTCAATTATCGACAAGCGCACTCCAATTGTACCAGACCCTCAGACTTGTACATACAGAGAAGAAAGGGCGTGCTTGGACGAGTTCTCACTTACTTACAGAGTTCTAAACACTATCAGTCCTTTTCCTTATCCTCTCACTCTACCATTCGCAATGGGAAGACATAACGTAAAGACCCCCAGCTTCCCTTTATGTTCTTTCTTCCGGTATTCAACCCCTTTTTCACTGTTTCTCATTTCTACCTGATTCTTAGCTCCTCTTTTTCACTTTGACATTGGATTTTAATGTAGTTTTTCGAATTTTTGACGACGAGTTTTTTTGAAACGGTACACAAAATCACTACCACCGCGTCCTATATCAAAAACTACATTAAAATTCAATGTCAAAGTGAAAAAGGAGCTAAGAATCAGGTAGAAATGAGAAGCAGTGAAAA